CTCTTATACACATCTAGATGTGTATAAGAGACAGAAAAAAATCTGAAAAAAAAGATATGTTATGGAGAAATATAAATTAAACAAGATTTGCTTGAGCATTAAATCCGAATTCCTTACCAAATTTGAAAAAAAAAAAAAATACGGAAAACAAATACTAATAATAAAAATAAATAAAAATAAAAAGAGAATTAACAAATAACAAAAAGTAAAAAGTGAAAAAATACGTGGGCGAGCACGTTTTGACACCGCTATCTGTAGCGATTTTTAATTCTTATTTGGCTTAGCCAAATGACTTGAAAATTGACAGGCATGTACCTCACGTCATAGAGAACTCACAAATTGTTTTTCAGAAAACAATAATTAGTTATAGGCCCTGAAATATTTTTTGGCGGGGGCCGAACGCCGTCGGGTTCGGACCCCGTACAAGACCTCGAACGCCCATACGTTGGACCTCCGTACGTACAGGCTAGTGACCCTGATTATGATAATATTACCTTTTTTTAAGTTTTTAATTTCTTACTCGAGTTTGATTGGGAATTTGGGGATGACTCCTTAGCAAAAGTTGTTTGTATCATGTTTCTGCATAACATATATTTGTTACAGAAGTTTTGTTTTTTTTCTTCTGTTTTTTATTTTTTATTTTTTTTATTATGATTTTTTTAAATTTATTTGTTTTCTGTTTTGATTTTTCACTCGAGTTTCATACAAAGTTTGGCAATGAGTCTCAGGCAAAAGTTGTTTGAAATATCATTTTTCATAACATACTTTTTTTTCAGATTTTTTCGATGATTGTTTTTTTTTTTTACGCATTTCAACGTACGGGAGTACGTGTATGTGCGTACGTGTCGGGTACAGGCATAAGTGTATGCGTGTACGCGCAACCCGCATACACGTACGCGGTGCAATCAAGGTCATATCTTATATTTTGTTCAATGGTTGACTTGCAATTTTGTTGATTAGACTTCGTATTCTATCGGCTAATGCTCTAGGTCTGATGACTCCAATCAGGAAGTCGTCCACATAGCGAACATAGTGAATCCTTCTAAAATGACTCTGGCGAGCCGACGAATGCGAGCGCACCTTAAGGCTGCTCTCCGATCACCGTCGGATCTTCGCAGTGAGCCTTTTTATCCGCAACCTGCGGCGGTTGCCCTCTCTGTCGACGACCCTCTATCAACAATGCTCTTCAGTCGCATGACAAATTTCTCAAGCTCATTAAGTAGCACATTGGATAGAAGAGGGTTGAAGGGCCGACCAATGTGGTCGTTTTTCGATAAAGCGACCGTCCGTATAAGAGGCTAAGCCTATCTGGATTGTGGGTGTATAGCTTAGTTGGTAAAACATTGTTTTTTTTACCTAATGGTCGCAGATTAAAATCTTGTTATTATACCCATAAAGCCATGAAGTGGGGTAGACATGC